GGAGAGAGAGGGGAGAGCGAGAGGAGAGAGAGGGGAGAGCGAGAGGAGAGAGAGGGGAGAGCGAGAGGAGAGAGAGAGAGCGAGAGGAGAGAGAGGGGAGAGCGAGAGGAGAGAGAGAGAGCGCGCGCGCGAGAGAGAGAGATAGACGGACGGTCGGACGAACAGACGAAGGGACGAACGTACACAGGCACACACACACACACACACACACACACACACACACACACACACACACACACACACACACACGCATGCACGCACGCACGCGCGCACACACACACGCGCACACACGCACACATGAATCATACGCACACATAGCAACACAGTATTGGCAACCATTGACTACGTACGTATGTACCGGTGTTAAATATATTGATAAAAAAATGCAAGTGAAAATACATTGATCGTGACAGTGTGAGTAGTACCAGCCGCAATTTTTTGACAAAAATATAAATTATGTGATATAAAGACAGTGAGAGTTTTGTGTTCTCTTATTTGGTGTCATACATACATGTATACATACATAATATCCAGAGTTCACGATAGAAAATGTTATATTATGGACTCTTGATAATATCTTATATAGTCAGCAATAAACGTACACAATATAGTTCAAATCGCAAAAGTTTTGTTTTATTTTGCTAATTTAAAAAATGGTTTGTCTGGTTCACGATTGAAGAGGTACTTAATGCTATCAATAACTACTACGTGTGTAAAAATACAGTTTTTTACAAATATGCTGCTTTTTAATCCCAATCGTGTTGACCAAAAGGATCTTTTAGCTGTTTTTATTTCATTGACAAACTATAGCGAGCAAAACTGATCATTGAGCTCCTGCTTGCCCAATATACATACATTTACATGTAAATAGACTTATATTATTATACATACTATCAAGAGTACATAATAGAGATCTCTGTTATGTACTCTTGATACTATCAAGAGCTAATAATACCTAGAGTGTACAACGGAAAAACGGGAAAATAGTGCTATTTCACGACAACATTATTCTACTTTGCCTGCAAGTCTAGAATAATTTAATGGCATTGCATTAAGCAGAATTCTTTGCTCTCTAAAACAAGACCAACCGCTTGTCAATACGATACTCCTAGGTTGAGATATTGGCTCCTAAACCTCCCCTCCCACATGCCTCACGCCGCCTCGCATCCACTTTATTCAGCTACCTTCACGCCCCTAAGCATTTTGGCTATCGGTTTCCGTCACCGCTTGGAGCGCTGATAATTGATGTCACATGCCCAAATTTGGTACTCTTACTACACCATATAGTAACTGAGCTGCGTTGTAAAGACTTAATTTAGAAAACATTGCCGGCTCCATCATGACAGGCATTAGCCGTGCTAGGAAAGATAATGGGAGATAAGGGCATAGGCTATGCCCCCGAAAGTCACCTGATCATAGCCTCTATTATAGCCTCTATCATAGCCTTTATCATAGCCTCTACCATAGCATCTATCATAGCCTCTATCATAGCCTCTATGTAATATCCTCCTCACACCATATGTCTCTCTCTGTCTCAACTGTTTGGCTGGATTGAAATTCCTCTCGCATTTTCTGCAACTCTTCAAACTCTGCCTAAAAACAAGAGTGTTTCTCACGTAAGAACAAAATATAGACATAGTTACGTAATCTATAATAATATAATATATCTATAAATGAGCCCCCAGAGGCTCCTCTGCGCACCCGCCCACGGTAATAGAGATCGGGAGAGAGAGATACACGCACATACAGTGTTTCCCCTGGCCAAAAAGGTCTGTGAGGTGGTAAATGATTTTGCGTGTGTTTGCGCGTTTCGAGGTCCTAGCAAAGCGAGCACTGCAGGTGAAGATTTTTGAATTTGTAAAAAAATAGTGCAATTTGGTGCATTCTAAGGTATTTTGGTGCATTATAAGCACTGTTCTATGGAAGAACAGTGATTTTCGTCAGCGAAGCAGTGTTTTGGACAAATTTCTGTGTGTCAATGCAGGGGAAACACTGACATACATACATAGGATGAATAAAAGAAGTTGTATTGCTACCTTAACTTGTAGTAAATGTGCTTGACGTCTGCTAGCTATATGCTTCATCGGAAATGGATTCAACTCGCCGAATGCCACCTGGTGACAAAAAGTGATAAAATAAATGCAGAGATTTTAATATTTAAAGATTTCGAAATGATCAGCCCATCTCTCGGATATACTTCTGTTAAAGGCAACAAAAATGTGTAGCATTCTGGACAGAATTCCATGAACACAGTGACTGAAATGCTACAATTAAATTGCTCACATTTTCTTGCCCCACAGACTGCCCTGGGTAGTTTAATTCTTAACTTACAAGAGATCTCAGGCACGAGCCTATATCTACAAATTTTATCAAGTTTACTGAGCAAGTCATTAAAAAAGATAACATGTATGTATGTATATATATATATATATATATATATATATATATATAAATACCAGCCATGTCACATTCAGAAGACATTAATACCGCAAAACTTGCAAACAAATGCATACTTGCTGTTGACCATACATGGGTTTGGTAACCTTACATGTGTAAGCTTCTTGTAGTCTGGGCAGCACGTTCCCATGCTCTGCATGTGTTTGTATATCGCCATGTAGTTGTTCAGTTGCAATATAGCTGGCTCGTGTTGCTTTAGAATGGCAAGTGCAAACCTGAACAGGACCTAAAACACCAAGGCAAACATTTAACAAAGAAGTTTAGAATGAAAACTGAACCCGAGACCATATTATGTTGCCAAATTAATTCTGAAATGTATTTCGTCACAAGCTTGCTTGTACGCTTGCCGCATCACGAATATACGGTCTGCTATTTATTTCAGCACCATAGCACTTACTCTAGCATCATAACAAGAGCCCATGGCAGCATAGTATCATGAGCCGCTGTATAAGATTAATATAATGAGCTGCTATAGATTAGAGCGAATAAAACGCTGTTTAGTAACAAATGACGCGAAACTTCCATGTGCACCTGTGCACTGATGCACCCTCAGGGCAGGAAACAATGTTCCGACGCACATCCTAACAAACGAAAACCGAAATACGAGCACGGGGGAAAGACAGCAGCAGTACGGATGAATCACCTTGCCTCCCTCGTACAGAAAGGCATCCCATATTCTCAGGTAGAGCTCAACTGACACGGACGTGTCCACGAACACGCACAGAAACCAGTTGAACGTGAATAAGGACAGGTCCACGCCGTAGCGATCGATGTGAGATGCTAGCCGTGGTAGCTTCTCTGCGGCCAAGTCCTTCAGCACTCTCTGTAATACACACAAGATAGATAATAGATAGATAAGAGCAGCAGAGCATTACAAACGTTTGCAAAAGGGAGATTTTTTTAGAAAGGCCTATTGGCAGCTAATATATTTACTAAATTCTAGATTATTTATAAAAATGGAGAACGATGATTGTGAGATCGAGTCAGTGGGAGAAGAAATCAGAGAGACAACTGAGATTCAGACACGAAACGCCAAATATCTTAGAAGTCACTCAACGGCACAACCGGCCTTTATATTGTCTACATTATACTGTTACTGCTACTGCTACTGCTACTGCTACTGCTACTGCTACTGCTACTGTTACTGCTACTGCTACTGCTACTGCTACTGCTACTGTTACTGCTACTGCTACTGTTACTGTTACTGCTACTGTTACCTCTACTACTATTGCTGCTTCTACTGTTCCTGTTTACATTTTACTGTTACTGCTACTGTTACTGTTACTGCTACTGCTACTGCTACTGCTACTGCTACTGCTACTGCTACTGCTACTGCTACTGCTACTGCTACTGCTACTGCTACTGTTCCTGTTTACATTTTACTGTTACTGCTAATGCTACTGTTACTGCTACTGCTACTACTATTGCTGCTGCTACTGTTACTGCTACTGCTACTGTTACCTCTACTACTATTGCTGCTGCTACTGTTACTGCTACTGCTACTACTATTGCTGCTGCTACTGTTACTGTTACACAACACTACCTCCGTACCTGGTCTGCCTGCGCTGCCATCAGTGTACTGCTGTAATAGTCGGGTGGCATGATGTGTTCAACAATGGCCACCATGCACCAGAACGCTTGCTCCTCCCCAAGCAGCAGCAGCGCAATCGCCGCGACGCGGTTCAGACCCTGGCAGTAGCCGACGATCGGATTGTGACGGCTCAGCGCCAGTAGCACACGCCGCAGCTTCGGGACACCTGGTGGCCGTGAACGGAAACATCGTAACAAGAGGCAGTCGGTTGCGACGGAGAAAAGGGTTGAGATCCCCGGGAAGAGTTTTTGGCAGTTAGTTTGGCGGGATTTACCGGTGGGAGGCCAGAAGTACTTACATACATTGTTGAAACGCATAATTCATGGGTTTAAATAATGCCACTACAAATTTACACAAAAATATCCTGTTTGGGGTATTAATTGCTTAATGCGATGCATTATCACTACATCATATATTTGGAACGCACGCACGCACACAGACACACACACACGCAAGCACGCACGCATGCACGCACCTGCGGAAGACATATCCTCGTAATGTTTGTTGTCAGGCAGAGTCCTTAGAAGATCCAGCTCTATCTGCTTAGCTGCAGGGTTGTGTTTGGTGCTGCCGTGTCTGGCCGATAGAAGAGAATGGTAGTATTTGGGAGGCAGCGCTGCTCTCTGGAACACACAGAGCGAATAGCATGAGATGTTGTGACAGGATTGAAACCCGTCAAAATTCAGGAGTTTACGTGGTTACCTTGCCATTATTATAACGACCTACGAACTTAACAAACAACACGTATGAGGAATGAATCTAAATAAACGGGGACTGTTAACAGTTTTCTAAAGTTAAATTTTGCATTTTATTAGGTTTTAAAACGATTTTCTCCGCAAGATTAAAAGATAGATCCACGACTAAATCAAGATTATTATGTATGCCATCATTATACAGCACACAGCAGAGGTTACCACAACTACTGCACGCACGGGTACACACACACACACACACACACACATGCAGGAGACATGTCCCCATCGTAAAAAACACACAATTACACTCACTGGAATATGCAGAAAAACACACACACACTGACACTGACAGTGAGACTAATGCTGACACATGCACACTCGTACGATTATCACAAACCGCACCCGCACGCACGCACACGCACACATGCACGCACTAACACACTTACACGTGCCCGCACATGCACGCACACACACACACGCACGCACGCATGCACGCACACGCACGCATGCCCGCACGCATGCACGCACTAACACACTCACACGTGCCCGCACACGCACGCACACGCACGCATGCCCGCACACACGCACACTCACACGCACGCATGCACGCACTGACACACTCACACGTGCCCGCACACGCACGCACGCACGCATGCACGCACTAACACACTCACACGTGCACGCACTAACACACTCACACGTGCACGCACTAACACACTCACACGTGCACGCACTAACACACTCACACGTGCACTCACTAACACACGCACACGCACGCCCGCACTCCTCGCCGTCATACCTTCGGTGCGACGCGAGAGTCGACACACCAGCTCCAGATGCGGCAGCGGAACTCGTGTGGCACACCCGCGCGTACCAGGTTCTTCACCTCCTGACTGCGCGCCGGGTCCCTGCTGCCTAGCCCCGCCATGAAGTTCTCCCACTTCACCTGAACCGACACCCTGTCCAAGTCTGTGATCTGCAACACGGTGTCACTTCCAGAGTTATTCATTATGTTCCTCACAGAGACACCAGCGCACGGATTATAATGCAGGTCATCGAAATAGAAGCAGACGGTGTTTTTTGAGGGGGTGGCCCACTAATGTAGGCTCACGCTCATCCGTGTGTATGGGGAGCAAGCAACAGATACAAACTTACAGCACTAAAATTCTATGTTTAGGAATCTGTTAGTACTAGGTTCAGGACGATCAACCTAAGAAAATCACCGTCGCTGAAAAGCTACATCGGAAAAGTATACTGTATACGCTGTATATTTCGTGGTGGTTTAATTTTCACAAATTTTGCGAATGCGTCCCCGACCACATAAATAACAACACGCGAATAATTCATACCGAATAAGTCGACTGCAAAATTAACCACTTGCGAAATTGTCCGTCAAGTCTGAATTCGCAAAAATATCTGTACGTGAAAATTATGGCGTATACGTGTATGTGTCAGATCTATACTGTACTGTGTGTTGTTCTTACCTTTGATATGATATCCTCATATCTGAGTTTAAGTATCTCAGCTTTCTGTATCACAGACTGGGAAGCATCACCACCAGATACCATGGAGTGACGGCTAAACCCATACGCATCATACAGCTCTGATCCTATAAACACGGCAACAGCTTGTTAGGAGGGACATTATATATATA